ACATCTGTGGCACAAGCGTCGGTCTCTTATTCAAGGTGACTAAGACTACAAAAATGAATGATGTGGTAACGCCATCGCTCTGTTCTGAAAAAAGATGTGACAAAACTTTGAACCACCATTATTTCAGATCAGTTAACGCTTTCACGGTATGATCGACCCTAATTTGGCATAAGCTTCAACACATGAATTCTAATCACCTGAAACTTCGTCAACAAATTCTGGATGTGACAGTCATAGACTTAATGATATGATGTTCAATCTTGCGGATCCAGTCCTATCATCAACCATGAGAAATAACGCTGAACTGCGAGGTTTGAGAGAATTCCCTTACTGATGAATGCTGGAGACTCGGCTGGCAGCACATCAATTCTACGTACGCACTCGTAAAGTAACTTGGCTCGTCTTCAATGATAACCTGCACTTGGCAAAGAATTTGAGATTGGTATTGATTAAAGATAGCTCTCTTGACAGAGTTTTTAACTCTGTACGGTGATTAATCATGTGATTACTTTCTTGATGCAACGATAGGAAATCGGAACATACAATAAAGGTAGAATAGTTTTATTAACAGTCGACTCAGTTCATTATCACTGCATGAAAGGTGATCAGGACTGAATCAATGAAAAACCAAAGTCGGCATTTTCAAGCAGTGAGGCATTGATAACATGATAGATGTGTGTCACTCAGCGAATCAATAATATCGAAACAGATTGCAGATTACTGTAATGAACGTCTGGCTGCCGCTTTACTTCAAGCAAGACCTAACATCATAAAGAGAGCTGATGGCGTCCCTACCCCCCACATCATGGCGAAACTCGTGAAAACTTACAACAGATAGAAAAACAAGTTTTGTTATATACTGACAATGTGTATGCATATTGACCTACCATGCATCGTACCACTGTATATCGTGTCCGGTTCATAAAGAGTTGGGGCTGCACCAAAGTACTGCTGCTATTAATAGCTCATTTAACTTTGCTCATGTCTAAAAGTTGAACTGGGAACATTTGAAGCTTTTGTACTGTCTCATGAATTATTCGTCCATGTGCTGATATCTACAGGTAATGTCTAGAAACAGACCTTGACTGATTGATGGAGCAAAGGGGAAAAAATCTGGCGCAACATAAGAATGGTACGATTCTATCAGAAGGAACTCTGCAGACAGTAAGCGATTGGCGAGGGGCGCAGTGCTGAGGTTCGACCTCCCGGAGGTGCAGGGTTCGATTGCGGCGTAGTGCAGCCTTCGTGTTAACCACGATTTCCACTGAGAATTGAATTTACCACACACTGCTTCAGACCGGAGTTGTTTTGTCGGTAGAGCGGCAATGACTCAGAACCAAGAGATCCAAAGTCTGAGTACAAGTCTGAGTAATTTGCCTCTGTTCCTTCCTACGTTGATAAAAGACTATCGTTTTGTGGTAAGGAAACAGAACAGAACAAATTATGCTTCATCATTAAACAATAAAGCACTCCTAGCTGATGACTTGGAACTGCAGAGCAGCGATCCATCATTGATTTCATGAAAAGAGGGGCAATATAAATGACTGAATTATAAAAGTACAACGTAGACCTACCTTCTGACGGTTTCAAAGCTTCCGACTTCATTCTTTCTCTTACTGCAGCCAGCGGCTTTTTAAAGCAACGCGGAATTCCGAACTTGCGTTCAGATCATGCAGACACGGAGTGTTTATGAAAACGAATTATGAAATGGCGACTACCATGCAACAAACAGAAAAATCACTCAACGGAATACATGAATGGTCAAAACTAAAGCCAGAATTTAGTTAAATTTAATTCAAATTACAACGTACCGTTAAATAATGAATTGTGAGTTGTGTTAACAAAACAAAGAAACCCAACATGTACTGCTATATATGGCATTTTGGCTTGTCTTAGATCCGTTTACGGGGCCGACTCATCGCTTCCCTCATTGCGCC